AGCGCCCGCCGCAGGGCCGGGGCAGGAAACGCACCAATCCCCGGCCCTCGCGTGGGCACAGCGGGGCCCGCATGGGTGGAGAGGAGGGTGACGGCGGAAGGGGAACCACAGACGCGGAAGGAACCAGAGTCGTAGCGGGAGAAGGGAGCGCCGAGATCACCGTCAACCTAACACTGCCACAGCCACCACACCGTGTCCCGAAGTACCACATCCGCACGTTCTTTGAACCCCTCCAGGGATGGGGACTCCAGCCTCTCCCTGGGCAGCCTGGGCCAAGGCCTCACCACTCCAGCAGGAAAGAAATTCTCAAAACCTCTCCTGGCACAACTTAACCTTGTTGCTTCTCATACTCTAACTACTTACTTGGGAGACGAGACCAACACCCACCTCACTCCAACCTCCTTTCATCCTAGAGCGCCAGAAGGTCTTCCCTCAGAATCGTCTTCTCCAGACTAAACAACCCCAGGTCCCTCAACCGCTCATGAGCCATGTTCCCCAGACTCCTCACCAGCTTCATTGCCCTTCTCTAGACCCATAAGACCAACTTTCCTCCACAGCCAGGGGAAGAGCTGAACACTAACCCCTGCATCACTGGGGTTCAAAACTCCTGATCACGCTGTTTGTTTGAGAGCATAACCAGCTTTCAGCTGCAATTTTTCAACAATTCAGTGTGCAGTTTTACCTCAGCCAGCAGCACTGCTGGTCTGTGAGAGAGACAGTGCATGCTTACTGGTGACTGCTGTTTTTTTTTTTCCCCTACACAACTGCCCTCTAGACGTAGCACCTCAGTTCTTGACAACACTAATGGTGCTTTTCCTCTTGGGAATCTCTGTGAAGCTGGCACTTCCAAACGCATACATTGCCCAGATCCTCTGTCTTTTGACGCTTTGTGAGCTGTTAAGCAGCCTGCTGTTGTATTTATCACCCTTTTCTGTTGTTTCCATGTTCAGTTTCCTGCTATTCCTGTAATACCCGTGCTGTTATTTTGTGCTTGAAGCCTTACACTGACTGCGAAAGAGAAGATGAAAGCCAAGTTAAAGGATCAAAGGCCAATACAAATGAGGGGGGCTGTCTGTGAGAGGAGGATAATTATTCAGACTGGATGTCTACCTGATATTTCAGTGCTTTCTTTCTCCACAAGATGGAAGCCAAGACCCATCTGTAACCCAGAGCCTCCCGCACGGCTTTTCCTAGAGAACTGCACATGCAGTGCTTATTGTACAAGCTGTAAGAGAGAAGCTTGTGGAGAACAGTCACCTCTTTACTTTTGTGTTCTAGTATGCCTTTTTTAACCTTGGTACCATACTGTTTTATCAACACTACTCTCCCAGGCCGCTGCCAGTCATATGGAAGTTTCTATATAAGACTGAATCAAGAATTTTGGGTTTATCTTTGGTGCAAGCAGGTTTGGTGTTGCTCAGATAAATTATAATCTTGCATTCTGCCATCACCTCTTACAAGCTAATATAAATAATACTGACTACTGACACTGGTGCTACTGAAATCAGCTGCATGCCACTTAAGGCAAAAGGCTTTCTTTGTATTCACTCACAGCTTTTAATGCAAATGTGAGATGATGAGATATATAAAACATGTATGGATAGAGAGATGTGTCTGTTGCCTGTGATGACTGGATCCCTTATTTGAAACAAACGGCAGGACTGCTGCATCAAATACTAGGTTTCTTCGTGTATGCAATAAAGAGCAGAGTAGAATTTATAAAATCACTCTTGTTGGAAAAGACCTTTAAGTCCAGCCATTAACCCTACTCTACCATACTCGACCAAATCCTCCTCTAAGCCATATCCCCAAGCAAATTCTTAACTGTCTTTTCCAGTTCTTTGGATTATACTGCTGTCCATTTAGCTACTTGCTGGTTTGTGCTGTAAAAACCAGTTCTGCTCATCTTGGCTCAAAGGGCCTGGAATGTACTTATATCCTTCTTAAAATCAAACAAACAACAAAACAAAACAAACCACATCAAGCATCTGACTTGACTGGAGCACAATTAAAAACAATTATATATTGGGTAGGAAATGGAAAGGTCTTCTTTTGCTAGGAAATAAAAAAAAAAGTAAGTAAAACAAAATAATTGAAATTCCATTTCTGTTGAATCCATTTTCTTTTACCATTTTGCTGCTGAGCTTAAAAATCATTATTTTCACTAAGTACTCCCTTATACCTGCACATGCTTCCCACTGTGAAAGTTTTTGCTAGTTACACAAGTTGCTCTAAAAACTGGTTCTGCGACAATTAGAAGATTGGCCTGCACAGTTGTTGGCCAAATAATCCTTTTCTTCACTCTGTTTTAAATCTGCATAGCAATTCTGGATTGATGCTGGACTCAAGGATCATCACCGTGTCAAAAAAGATCAATGAAGTTTGATGTGTTTTAAAAGTTTTAAAAAGACACCTTCATTTTACAGGCTGGGTGTTGCCTAATATGCTCATAATGCAGCTCAGACAAGCTCTCTGGCCACACCCAGTGACTATAATTTCTCTTTATTTTGCAGTTTCAGGGTTTTAGATACAATAACCACATTCCTAGCACTGCACAAATGGCACTTCCAGGATTGGATCACACACACCTCAATGTCACAGTAAGGATTTCTGAAAGCAACACACAAACGAACAAAAGGATCAAACCTTCAGCACAATGCGCTCAAACTATGTTAATGCAGTGGCATTTTTCTCCAGAATATTGTGCTGTTTTCTTAGAACTATTACACTTTGAGATACAACAGAACAAAACTACAAAAGTATTTGCTAGTGTCATGATCCAGGGAGTTACAGTGCAGTGGGCAGGTACTTGACTCCAGTTTCTGACATCAGAAAGTCTCCTTATTCAGAGTTCATAGGCATAAGGTAAAGCCATAAAACTTTTCACAGTTTTCACCTTATGACAATAAACTCTGTTTCCATCTAATTTACATTTACAGACACAAATTGCAGTTGCCATTTGGAGCTGGCTGTGATCAGCAAAGCATAGAGCATATGGGATGTCACAGACTCACAAAAGCCTTTCCCCGTTATTTCAGAGAAATACAAGCTCTGTGTGTGGCTAATGCATACAGAGTTCTACACACAGATGTTAAAGTTTTAAGATGTTGGAAGTATAAGAATATTTTATATGTTAAGCATTAAAAATGCTTCCTGCCTCCAAAGAATGATGCAGCAAAACATCCACAGAACAACTAACAGGACGTCTTTGCCACTTCTTATTTGCAGTTATGTTTTATTAATCAAGCTTCCCTTTTTTCAGTTATACTTTCTCATTGAATCTGAAACCAGAATAACTATACACACACAAAGACACCCCCCTATCTAGCACAAAATTAAAAACATAAATCAACAACAAAGTGCAGAAAGAAAATCTAATAATATTGGCACTAATATTTGCCAGCACTCACATTTTGGCTCCTGATATTTTTATCTGAGACAGTGCTGTTCCAAGTCTTACATGTAAGGTTTTTGCCTCCAACTAAGCTTGCAGCAGCAATTCCTCCTGTCCTTCGTCCTGCAACAAACCCACCATCAAGCAAGTGACCAGAGCAGATACAAACCTAAAGGGATGAAACTACAGGGTACAGGGGAAAAGCTGCAGGACACTCAGTTCTTGGGCTTCTAGAAACAGGACTGGGCAAACACAGAACCCTCCCCACCCCACCCCCCTGCACTGGTGACTGGAGAAGGCTGCAGTCAAGGGCACCCCTTGACTGGAAGGGCTCTTGCTCCTTCATCCAGCACCAGATAAGAGCACAGGGAAATGCAGGAGAGTCTCCTCTTCCTCCTCCCCTGCCTAGCAGCTTGGATTCCTCCATGTGCTCTTCCTCTATTTAGAGGCTTGACACAAAATCCATCCCCTCTTCCTCTTCGCTCTCTCGGGGACCTCACTGTCAGACAGAAATGCATCATACATAAAAACTGAGGTCCATGTCTAGAGGACAGCAACAAGGACTCTCAAAATACCTTGGGATTCCTTTAATATTGTTAAATGTAAAAAAAAAAAAAAATCATATTCTTTTAAAAGTTTTCCCTCCCTCTCCCCCCCCCCATTTTCTTTTAGTCCTGGTCCCTTCTAATTAATTTTTTTTTTTTTTATGTTTCCTGCTGTTCTTGAGAAGAAACCTCTTCCTGCAGTAGAGGAATTTAGAATTAAAAATGCAACATTCTATGTGGAAATAACATTTGCAACACTGTACAACTCTTTCTCAGTGTAACTCACATTAACACTAGGTGCACTCACAATATTCAGATTTTTGTTTTTTAAATTATTGGATGAGGAAATATATAATATTAACACTCCATCACATTAAACAAACATACCAGTTTCCTACAACAGAGACTTCTGCCTCTGGACTACATGATAATGCACCACCACAAATGAAAAGATGAAATTTAGTCAGGAAAGGAGAAGGACATTTCTCAGTGAGAAAGGTCACTAGCACACGCAGTTCTGCTGCGACGGGGAGGGGCTGTCAGTGAGGCGCATGCTCCTTCCAGCAGTGCCCCGGGACGGGTCCGATTCCATACTCTCCGACATCTTCTCACAGATTATATCCACGAGGCGCTCAAACACCTGCCTTACGTTGATGTTTTCTTTGGCACTAGCCTCAAAATAGTCAAAACCTGTGAGGAAGAAGTGGGAAAAAAAAAAAAAAAATCAATAGAGACTGATGATAATGGAGATGGTTTCTGCAGTACTAACATTTTTTCTTCTTATTTTTCAGAATTCACCTGAAGAAAAGACATTAGATAATTTTTAAGCTCGCTTGATTCCCACACTCTCAGAATACTGAGCAGAAATACTTCTGAAATTTATCGTGCATCAATAAGACTCAAAGGTATAAATGGATCCCTACCACAGCCCTGGTACACACATCTGCAGGTCTAAATAAACTCAGGACAAGGGAGTCAAATTCTTCCAATGCCACTAACCAGGAATGTAGGGAGGGGCCTTCCTGGGCTCCTTGAACCCTTGCACATCAGGGCTAGGTTTACTCCACAAACCACTACTGCAGCCTGGCAAGAGCAGAGGCCAGAAAGAGAAGTGAGATCATGGTTGTAATTCCTTCTGCTAAACAAGTTCTGCACTGGAGAGAAAAACACTCTGCGATTTTGGTTCTGTTTCTCCCATTCTCTGATTAGGCGGAAAGCTCTTCAGGGTGATTAACACTTGCACAGCCCATGTCAGGACAGAGCACCCATCCTGACAAGAACTGTTTAGCACTTCAGAACTACAAATAAATGTTGAGTGCCTTCTACAGAGTAATTTCAGTGCTCATTTGCCAGCTCCTGGCTGCAGTGATGAGTAGGGATTCTCACACCCTACTGATTAAAAAAAACCCAAGCAGCCAGGTTGGTGTTACACCAAGGTGGGGACAGCACAGACAACTATTGCTGCTGCCTCCCGTTGACATCCTGTGCTATACAGGAACCATCCTTTTCACAGATGAGACCAGACCCTGCCTCAGACCCTTAAGCACAAATGCACTGAACTGTGAAGTATTTCTTTATCTTTCTCACCTCAGGGCCTCCAAGGCCAACCACCGCTTACAATGGCTGTTCATTCTGTTCTACCAGGGCTTTATATGGCCAACAGCGAGAGCTCAAGCACCACAAGGAGGGTTTTCTGCAGTAAGCTACATTCCATTGTGCTTCATTTTTAGGGCATTCTGCATTTCTTTGATTCTGCCACAAACGAATAGAAAGGTAAGTCACCTTAACTGATTAGTCTGTCACTGCTGGTAGTCCGAGTCACCCTGATGTTTGAGGTAAGTAGGTATCTACCCCATTCTAACACTTTTTAAAAACCATGGTACAAAGAGTGAAGTCATGGTGGAGATGTTTGCCTCATTACTAGAGAAGGATGGCTGTCCTGCATCAGCCAAGGGTTCTGTCTGCCCTACTTGCTCTCTTTGACTGATGATGATTAAAAGTGTATGTAAAAGGCACAAGATATCAGAGAATTGAACTTAGATATTTCTCAGTCCAACATTGATTTAACTTCTGCTGTGGCTGCATCTGTTTTTGGTTTAGTTCACATTCAAGGCTGATAACACGTTCTTAATCTGATTCGGAAATGATTTCAATGACATGAATGCCACTATACAAGCTGAGACAAGTGTGCTGAAGGACAACCTGTATGTGACTCACTATGATGAAAGCTAGCAGTTGAAGCAGTCAATAGTCAATTAAAGAGACTTATCCCACAAAGTAACTAACACACAAAGTAACTTCAGATAATGCTGTACCCATTAGCACAGTTAGTGTAAGGTAAAACTGACTGATAAAACCAGGTACATTTTTTCATCCCTTTTAAAAAGAGCATTTAGTATTTTGAAAGGCTACAGAAACTCTCCCAAGGCATGGTTAGCTTTTGTTCTGCTTTGCACTGGGCTATGTTTCTCCAGGGTAAGCTGGACAAGTGCAAGCACAGGTTGGGGGTTGTACTGGGGATTCCTCCGCAGAACAGTTTCCTGCTGCTGAGTCGGTTGCCATGGTAGCTCTGTGTGGGTGTGTGTTTTGACCTTCCCACAAGGAAAGGATTCAGGTTCTAGAGGCAAAGTTTGTATTTAAACAAGCAGATTAATTTTGAGGGGGGAAAAAAAAAAAAACCAAACGCCAGAAGTCCAAATAGGAGTAGGGAGTTTTAGCAAAATTCTATCTGTTGTTACATTGTTCTGGACAAATTTTCAATTACTGCACAGTGTAATTACTCATGAAAAATCCAAGGGCACACATCACTCACAACAGTTTTGAGACTCCATAAGCCAGGAACCAAGTATATTCGCATGCATATTTTCAAAAGCAAATTAAAATGATCATCTTGAGTGCCATCATGAGACACAGAGAACCCAGGGTTCAGGCCCAGTCAGCTTGGGTTTACAAAAGTCAGGTTGGCCTTGACCAACCTGATCTTCTATGACAAGGTGACCTGCTTAGTGGACAAGGAAAAGGCTGTGTGTGGTGTCTACCCTAGTCTTTAATAAAGACTTTGACACTGGTGAAGGGCTTAGAGAACAAGTCTTACGAGGATTGGCTGAGGGAACTGGGGTTTTTTAGTCTGGAGAAGAGACAGCTCAGGGGAGACCTTATCACCCCTTATAGCTCCCCTAAAAGGAGGTTGTGATGAGGTGAGGGTCGGTCTCTTCTCCCAAGTAACTAGTGATAGGACAAGAGGAAATGGCCTCAGGTTGCACCAGGGGAGGTTTAGTTTGGATGTTAGGAAAAACTTGTTCACCAATAGGGTTATCAAGCACTGGAACAGGCTGTCCAGTGGAGTGGTGAAGTCACCATCCCTGAAGGTGTTTAGAAGATGTGTAGATGAGGTGCTTAGGGACATGGTTTAATCGTGGACTTGGTAGTGTTAGGTTAATGGTCTTTTCCAACTGATATGATTCTATGATTCTGTAAAATTCTGATGTATAAAAACGAGCCCATAATTGATTGTGCAAACTGCTCCTGTCTTTGCTTTGCTAGTTCTTCCTGTGAAAAATTATTATTACAATAATAATAATGATGGGAAATTATAGGGTTTAGTGTGATATTTGCTTATTATTTGTTTATGATGGCAGTGCCTCAAAGCTCCAGTCATGAATGGGACCCTTTTGTGCTTAGCACAGGTAGAATTTTACACTTGAATGCTCTGAACCTGCAGGCTTCAAGTAGACATGCTTTCCCCCCTCCACAAAACATGAAAAAATAATCTGATTGCTCTTAACTCTTTGGAGCAGTGAGCATCTTTTGTTTATATCACAGGGCTCCCTGTCACAAAGCCATACTTGATACTCATCTATGAGCAGGGTTTCCATACCTTCATTAACAAAACCCCAAAACAACAGTAACTACCCCCCCCCACTAATAACTACTCATTATCTAAGATTTAACCTTGTTTGACAGTTTGATCAAGGTCACTCTAATCTAAAACAGTGTGTGCAGCTTGTACTGGAACTCCAGTACCCCCAGTTTAACAACGTATTATGTACTCTCCAATTACTGCTTAACAATTGAAGACAACATAGGATTTTACAAATCAGGGATGATGGTGATTCCTTTGGGTCTGGTAAGAATCTCTACTCTTAAAAGCTAAACAAATATTCAGAGTATGCCCACTGTAAGGGTCTCCACATTTAACTGAATTATATTTTAACAGGAGTTACTTGCCGCTATGAATTCTTTAGAAGATGATAGTATAGTTGAATCTTAACACAGAAGTCCTGGTTTCATATTAAAAAGATCAAATATGCTACAAAATATAGCAAAAAAAAAAAAAAAACCTACAAATTAGAAACTAGCATGAGTTTATTTTGTTGTTCATTCTAAGATTTTCATTGCAATCCCAGCTTCCTCTTGATGGAACTGGTTTGGTTTTTCTGTCCCACATCAGTACTAACATGTCATTTCTCCAGCTGGACAGAGAGGCTTGGTACATTTTTAAAATGTGTTTTATTCAGCTCTACAGTTCTGATGTATAAACCTTATTTGTTCATAATTAATTTAAAAAAAAATTCTTCTAAAAAACCCCCTATGTTTGCATTCTGAAAGTGAGTACATGGTACTTAGAGAACTGGAGACAGAATTGTGCTTATAAAAACTTTCTTCTTTCATTCTGCCGAGTTAATAAAAGCTGTTCTCTCCAGACAAACTTTATCTTCCTTAAATCCCTAGATATTAGCTTTACAGATACAGCAACACTACAAGAAGGCAGTATTATCACTAAGAAAGTAAAATATGGACCAAAAATGTATTATGCTTCTTAGCTGTGATACCATTATTTAAGTATTACCACTGGAAGGACTGTTAATTTTACAAATTAAAAGGGACACAGCATAAAGAAGCAGAGGAAAAAGAGCAGAAAGAAAAGCTTTGACAAGTACCTAGCTGATCTGCCAGATGTTTCCCTTTCTCCACAGGAACAATTCTTTCATCTTCCATGTCACACTTGTTTCCAACCAGGATCACTTGTGCATTGTCCCAGGAGTAAGTCTTGATTTGTGTGGCCCTACAGGAGGTCAAAAAAGATTGTTACCTTCCATCAGTCACGCCAAAATACAGTCGTATAGTAAGTATGAAAACAAGTACCATTAATGATAATACCAACATCTCAAGACCATATGTGGACTAAAAGATAAATAAAGCAAGACTGCAAACTAAGTAATTTATGCGTAACTCTATTTTACTACTCTAACTTTGTGTGATAAAGTTTCTTGTTAAGACTTTGCGAGTGTTATAAAGATAATGAGATCCAGATAAAAAGGTGGATTGAATAATTTTTGAAGTCTAGAAACAGAAAAGCATTCTTCTAAAGCTTCTTTTCCTTCAGCTATAATCTGTCAGAGGAACAACTATCAACTGCACCAGTTAAGGATATTGTCCCTACAGAGAAAGCCATAGAAGAGATACACAGCTCATGCTAGCTTTACAACTTCTTGTAAAACATAGAACAATAATTCAGGGCAGACAAAGAAGATGCTCATTCACTGTGGCACAGTTGCTGCAGCATTTTATTAACACCGTAAGAAATTGTGTTTTGAAAGTCAGAGGGAAGCATCAAGTCATCTTTGCTTGAAGAGGAAAACTGGTTCATGCAGACTGAAAATTGCACAGAAAGGTGGAAACAATTGCTAAAGAGAAACAGAAAAATTTACCAAATTGGGAAGCTAGCGATCAAGGTAAAGCTCTGTGAGCTTGTATTTGAACCCAGCAGGATTAAGTGATACCTAAAGCAGGACACAGCAGATGCAATGACAGCAGGCAAGTATCAGACAAATGCTAACTTCAATGACAGAGGGATCAAGTGCATGGGAGCTTAAGCAGGAGCACTGGGGTGAACTTACAGCCTCTAAAGCTCTCTGTAGCTCATGAGCTGAAATTGGAGTGAAGCTAGCTGGGGATCCCAGGAGCCTGACCTTACATTTGGCCTCTTTATAGTTCTGCTATGACTAAACAGAATTTTTTTTTTTTCCCCCCAATTTATCCTGAGGGATGGTGGGTTCCTTCCCACCATCCACAGTGAAGTGTCACAGGGCCAGCAGCAGGAGTATTAGCTTGGTAGCATTCACTTTCATCCAGTTCTTGCAGACTGGCCAAATCTATTTTATCTTCACCAGGCTAGCTCTATCTTTTAAGACTCCCTCCTTCCCAAAAGTAATTAGGCTGCTCTCCCAGAAACCATATACTCCTCCAGTCAGTAACTTACCTTCCCATTCTTTGTCCCTACTCACCACCCCTTCATACCTAACACTACAGTTTGAGGTAAACCTGCCACTTCCAAGAGAGCCACGAGACCCCTCAGATTTTTACTTCTGTTTAGTTTGCTCAGCTCCCTTAAAAATAAAGCATTTGATTCCTGCTCCTTTGAATTAGCCGCAGCCTCCAGCTCTGATCTACTAATGATAAATATTAATTAGCTTGAGTTGCTTACTTGCCTTTTCCATGGAAAGCAGACAGTCATGTTATTCCACAAATATCTACAAAAAAGGGGGTTCTTTCACTGTGCAGCTTGTTTTTAAAGCAGCAGTTTGTTTGGCTTGCACTGGCAAGCAAACTTAAACCGGGCTGCACAAGCCCAGACCCATACTGCAACACACAAAAATAATCAAGGACTTTGTGCAGTGAAATTTCTTATTCTTCTTAGTGTCTTCCTGGAAAGGCACTCTCTCCAATCCCAGTTTTGGCTCCTCCACTTTCACCCTTCTGAATGCCTCCATGCAGACAAGCCCTGTGAGAGCTAATACGACTTTGTGACAAGTGTACACCAGACTCTGGGGTTTCTCAAAGCTCATCACAGAGAGGGATGACCTCAGAAATCAACCAAAAGCCCAGGAAGATGAAATCTCTTCAGTCTCCCTCAATAACCAACAAAGGAAAGAAAGTCTCTCCAGGTTCCATCTGAAACACCTGTAACCAGGCTTCTCTTCTGGCTCCCAGTCTTCCCTCCGGGTTCATTTCAGTCCCCGGGGCTTTGTATGGAAACACGTTGCCAAATCTTAGCTGTTTAAACAGAATTATTTCCAAAATCAAAAAGGAAGAAAAAAGCATGAACCATCTCCCACAGAGACTCATCTTTCTCCTTCTTTTGTACAAACTGGCAAAAAACCTCTCTTGTAGACATTCATGCTTATTAGGAATAAAAAATAAAATTATGAAGAAAAATGTCTAAAAAGAAACCCCAATCCTCATACAAAAATAAAAGCAGCAGATTTCCAGAAGTTTTTTGAAAGATAATTAAATAAAAAAGGCTTGTGCAGTTGAGATGTTTCAACAATTATCAAGGCAGTCCAATATACACGCTGAGAAAAAGATACTTCTGTGACACAATAACAGTGCTGTGCCTTATTTGTGCTGAATTCCCCAAATGAACAATAAAGCATGGGGTTTACGCTTCATGCTTAGAAGAAAAATAGTCTCAGGCTAACAGTTACATGGATATATCAATGGCCTAAATTGGAAATCAGCCTTAAAGATAAATAAAGCTGATGATTTATGAACCCAGCTGTCATTTAAATCTAAGTTAAATTTAACTTATTTTTTCTTCCCTTCTATGAAATTGTCTAGATTGACTGAAGCAGAGTTTCCACAGTATTTTCTATTTACTTTACAGTATCAAATGCTGAGTATATTCTAGTTTCAGTACCGTTTCAAATGAGGTGTAAACTACTGATTTATCTACACACAAAACTAGCAAGCCAATGACAAATAATAACTGTCAAAGAAGCCAAAAAAAAAAAAAAAAAAACAACTAGAAACTGAGCTGAAAGCCATGAAAGCTTATTTAACCCTTTCACTTGCCCTACAGGAATAGAGTCTTATTATTCAAACAAAATAATCAGTTATTCTCAAGTATCAGGTAAAAATCCATCTTTGCTTTTGCTCATTTATGCCTTTTCTTCTAAAATAACCTGACTGGACTCTTGCCACACTACAGTAAGGAGAAAAGAAAAAAAAAAAAATTAAAAAAAAAAAAAATTTCGCGCTTAATCTTTTAAGGCTTCTCATACAATCTGCTCTGCCGTTCCCAGTGAAGGACAAAGAGAATGGGTTGTGTCCTAGATATACCCAAATGCATTTAAATTGTGCGTCTTACTCTCTCAGCTGCTTTAAGATAATTATCATTAATTGGGGTGATTCATGTGAATGAAGGGAAGACTGTACCTCACATTCATGTACTACCATGAGAGACAGTGTGAACACCTGATTCCAGCCATGATCCTCCTCTTTCAGGAGAAAGAATGTATTTACTTGGTTTAGGTGAAGTATTTCTGGAGTGACACAAAGCAAACCAGAATCCTCTTTAGGACGTCCACCCATATGAGGGGTGCAGTAAAAAGATCACCCAAAGAAGATATCTCAGACTGGAAGAGATATTCCCATTTCCCCTGTGGGCAGGTCAGGAGCCTGTTTCAACAGTCACATGACAATGAGCCAGAGATGAGAGGTGAAGTGCACCATGGATACATGACAGGAGGTTTTAGAGGAAATGCTGGGGCTTTGTGAAAAGGCTTGGAGGATAAGAAGGCCAGTGAGCACAACCTGCTCTGCCAATTTCCCACCTAGAGGGAAGGTATAACCTCTACAATGCTGGAGACATCTAGAAAGGAAATGGAGAGCTGACTTGTCAGAAGGCTACCTTCCCATAATTTCAGTGTAATTATCAAGATGAACTGTGAGATCTGTGTACACCCATATGAGCTCATGAGAAAGTAAGACCTTGTCATGGGCAAGAGCTTACTTGGAGTGCTAGGTCTCTGGTTCAGCTGTTCGTGCTTTTGGCTTGTTTTCTGTAGGGAATTCTGCAGGAAGAGATGGTACAAAAGGAAGCACTGAGGTGGGCTGAGGTCCATGTTGACAGCCTGCTTACACAGCATCTTAAAAAAACCCTGAATCGCTTAGCAGCAATAGGCAGGGCACAAGCAAGAAGGAACAAGCTTTAGACCAGAGAATGTCTTACCGGAAAACACAGACAACTACTGTACACAACTTGACTCATTCCCAAATTTTGTGAACGGGTAAAATTTTAGGATCCAGGAACTATATTCAAATGGGAAATTCTGACCTGCCCATGAGAATGGACTGGGATGGAAAGCAGTCAAAAGTTAGTGGAAGAGACATCACTTTCTATTTTACCTGCTGATAATTTTCTTGAGGTATCCTTCTAAGCTTGATTGTATTTGCTTTATGAACCCAGTCCCATAATCTTTTTATGAATATTAAAGTGTCATCTTCTTATGCCAGAGGAACACTCAAATTCCATCCACGCATGCTATTTGAAAAATAACTGGGAAGGTTAACAGGTTCCTTACTGATTTACTTCACATTAACTGAGTACCTCCAATTTATTCTCATTGTCTAAAAGATCGGCAGATCAGCTACATCATGCTGTATCTATGACAAAATATTCAACAGTACTCTTTACTTACTGTAGCTGGACCCTGAAAAATGCATCACTAGCCTGCTAAGATAGCAGGACACTTAAAAGACAGAAAGGATGTGTAGGACTAATTGCTGTAACTTCTGGAAATTTAAAGGACGTAAGAAGACCTGGGATAAGCTTTGCTGTTTGCTTTTGCCTATATCCTGGGTGGATGCCCCATTTGATTTCAGTGAGGGTTGAAGTATGATCTTAGAACTGGTGTGGTTTCTTGTAGCCTCACCTAAACCTCAGCAAGCAGAGAGGAAACTTGTGTATCAGGCCACACATCTTCCTCACATGGTAAAAAGCAGTTTGGAAGCTTGGCCATTTCCTGGGAATCTAGGAGCAACACTACTGAAGGTAACAGCTTCATGAATGGAGAAGTGGTGGTTCAAGCACTTGTCCTCCCATCAGATTGCCTTATCTCACATCCCAAACCTTTTGGTTCTCTCACTCTAAGGGAAGTCCTCCCAACGTGGGCACAGCAAGCAGAGCAGGAATACTGTCCTAACTACATGTGATGGACCAGACAAGGCAGGGCTGAGCAGCAGGGGCATACTACTGACTTGGCAGCTTGTGCAGCTTCCCAA